CAAAGGTTGCAGGCAGGCTAGCTCAAAAGAGGATTTGTGTAATGAGAGGTGGCATAGATAGGCCGAGAGTGACAAGAGGATGGTTGTAGCAGTCCTTGGAAGTTTAGTTGAGATATTAAGGTAAAATTATTTAGTTGCTGTTGAGTTATTATAGATACTTGGACAGAGAGGCTGCAAGTTGAAGTTTTAGGAAGGTTTCTCAAATAATTATCTAAGCTGGACTGGAGTTTGGAAAGCCTGGGAGCAGACAACTTGTTAGGACAGTACCTCAGTGGTCCAGAGAAGAGACGATCCAAGTGACCTAAGTCAAGTCAAGAGGTAAAATATTCAAGAGAAAATGAAGAGGCAAAATCAACAGTAAGCAATGACAATGAAAGTTAGTAGGAAAGAGGTGGCTTGAGGAAGCAATTAGGAAGAAACATCAGCAAAACTTGAGGAAACGTTGGTTGTGCACAAGGGAAAGGGGGATGTCCTGAACAGTGCCAGGCAGGTTTGGCACTAGGTTATCAAGTAGGGGAGGCAGAGTGGTCAAGTCTAGAGGTAGATATTCCTAGAGGTAGTTAGAGTGCATATAGGTGGTAGGACAGGCTGTTTGAACCAGCAGCTCCACCTGCAGGATGATGACCTTTCTGTGAATATGCACAGAGGACTTTTGAGGCTCCTCTTTGTCTTTGTCCATTCCAGAACACAATCTTGGCTTTACTTTTGCATAACCTGAAGTCTCATTAAAGTGTTTTTCCCCAAACAAAAGATCAATCTGTCCTCAAAGATAAATTCTGCCTCTACTTCTGCAGAAACAGAAAAGCTGCTGGAAGCTTTAGAATGGCAGTTTATCCTCACTTCCAGTCATAAAGGTTTCAGAATGTTGGGGTTCAATTTGGTAGCACTGATCAAATTTTTTCACGTGCATATAATTTGACCCTGCAGCTTCACTTCTAGGAATCTGTGCTATAGGAATGCTCGTACAAATATACAGTGCAGCATTGATTGTAATGTTAAAAATGTAAGCAATCTAAACGTACATCAGTTGGAATATGACTGAATAAATTATAGTCTATCCATAATATGGAATACTATGCAACTAGTAAAAAGCAGAATGAGGTAGCTCTCTGTGTACTGACATGGATGGGTTTCTGGGACATATCAGAGAATGCAAAAAGTAAATGCATGTAAATCTGTGAGTTGTGAATGTACGTAGATAAACAATGTATACGTGGAATCTGGAAGGATACAGACTAAAAATACTAACTGGTTACTTCTGGGTAGTGGGATGGGGAAATGATAGAGGAATGTCTAAAGAAAAAAGTTAAGGGTTTTTAAAAATCATGTGCTACTTTTATAATTGAAAAAAAAGTGTAAACTCATCAGCTTTCTTTGCAGGCACACTGGACAGAGGCCTCTTTAGTGCTTTCCTTCCCTTGGGATTTTCGATTGTATTGCCAATTTTTTTTTTTGAGAGCTTCCCAGCCCTCTTGCTCTACCTTCCTTTTGAGACATTCTGTAGGATACTTACCTTATCTTTTCCTGAACTAATAAAACAAAACAAATCTCAATTTTGTAAGTCAAGACCAGCAGTTTCAAACTTTATTGGGCATCAGAATCACCTTGATGCATGTTAAAAATGCAGATTCCTCCCCCCCTTAGTAGGTTCTGGGGTGGGATCCAAAATCCTGATCTTTCAGAGGCACCCCAGGTGGTCCGTGAGAAACCCTGTTTCGGGAATGACGGCTGATTGTGCCCTCTCCCCCTCGGTTCTCTCTGTGATTAGCAGAGGGAAGGAGGGAGTGGGTGGGGAGTGATGACTCACTGTCGATATCTTTGTGGGTCACAAATGGTTGGGTTCATCTCAATGGGGAAAAAATGAATAAAACACAGTTTAGTAGACTTGAGATTTTAGTAATAGGTGTTGTTTCTTTAAAGTAGGCTATTTGGGACTGGCCTGGTGGCATAGTGGTTAAGTTTGCACGCCCCACACCGACGGCCTAGGGTTCACAGATTCGGATCCCAGGCATGGACCCATGCACCACTTATCAAGCCATGCTGTGGTAGGCGTCCCCCATATAAAGTAGAGGAGGATGGGCACGGATGTTAGCTCAGGGCCAGTCTTCCTCAACAAAAAGAGGAGGATTGGCGGTGGATGTTAGCTCAGGGATAATCTTACTAAAAAAAAACCCAAACAAACAAAAAATAAAGTAACCTATTTAAAGTGGGCCCTTTGTGTTAGAGGCAGTGACTTTGGCCTAGAAGATGCCTTCCAGTGATGGCTTTGTTAGTTATGTGTGGAAGGGGAGTGGGTACCTTGGCAAATTGTGAGTTTTAGAATTCAGATGCTTTTTAAGTGAAGCTTTTATGCTTGGAAAATGATGCCTCTAATATTAAGGTGAGGTACTATCTATCTTAAGATTATTCTAAACAGTTTTCTCTTAGAATTATTTTTTCTTTGTTATAAACAAATTCTGTTAATCAGATGCCCACTGTGGGTTATTAAAATTTCAAAAAGGTGTTTAAAAAACATATACTCCAATTGCTCTGAACAATTAACCTTAGGGAACAAAAGTAAATGGGAATATGTCTTAACTACGTTTCCACACCCTCAGTGAAGCTGGCAGCCATCAGTTACATCAACCATTAGGTTCATTGGTTTGAGAACAGAAGTGTCGACTTGGGCACAGTTTTCTAATTTGCTCCTCATTTACCCAACACATTTATTCAGAGGCTACTCTGTGCATAGTGGACATTAGATAACTCTACAAATAAAAGCCAAAGACCGATGAGCAGCTGGAACTCTAAGGGGATCATCCAAATGGGAAAAAATGAATAAAACACAATTTAATAGACTTTAAAGCTTAGTAGCACATAGAAAACAGAAAGTGGATTCTTTAAAGCAATAGCCTTGTTCTCTCTCTGTAGTCTATTTTAAGTGGGCCCTCTGGCCCAGCATTATCAACCTTGGATTAGGAGCTTTGAGGAAATGGTGGTTTGGTGCTTGTTTTTTAAAGGACTTTTTAAGAACCGTAGTTACTAAGCAACTGCCATGACCTGCTGCTAAGTTGGAGTTCAGCGGGCAAGTCAATTCCAAAGAAGGGAATATATAAACAAGTTGCGAGAGGGGGAAAGCGGCTTAAGGATAGATTGAGTGTATTTTTTTTTTTCTGGGTTCAATGCATATTTCTGCCTTTTACTTATCTTCCCCAAGAAAGGGCTGCCTGGTCAGAAATCTCTTTGTCGTTCCGGTTCTCCTAGCCGCTGAGTGTGGAGGAGGGCCAGAAAGGAGCCGACTAGAGAGGGCCAGGATGGAGGGCCGGCTCTTGAGGTAGACAGCTCTGCTGCTGTGCTCTTGGGCGGTCCAGGGCTTCTATGACAGATCGGTCACCACCCTCTACCTTTAGATTGGGACTCCTTGTTGATAGTGATGTGTTGCCTTGTAACCCTCAGAACAGGGACATTGTCCAGCTGCTGTTTCTTTTTTCCCCCCCAGCATTGAATGGGTGAGTCAGTGACTTAACTGCTTCCTGCAGGATTTCAGGGACGGAAGTAGGTAATGAGGACAAATCACCCTAACCTCAGAGCCTGATGAATGGAAGAGTATGTGAATTTAACCAGTTGGTTTCTCTGGTACCAGAGTGAACACAAAGAAACTTTGTTGCGAAGAGGGTATTTGCATGAGTTAGAACTCCATCCCCTCCCTTTTAGGCTTTTGAGCATATCCCTTTATACCCAGCTGAAGGTCAGGTTGCTTTGCTGATGGAAGGGGAGTGTCAGGTGTTGGAACAGGTGTTTTGTTTTCTGCCTGTAGAGTCACACAGACTAGATGGGGATGCTTCTTGCCAGCCCTCTATGGTGTGTGAAAATGCTTTTGTGGAATTCTTTTTCCCTGAAAAAATAATGTTTTTGTGTTTGTTTTTTAAAGCAGCTTCTCAACCTTCAACCCCTGGTATAAATTTTGACTTCCTTTAATATCAGCTTGTCATAATGAAGTATGCCCGTTTTCTACCGTTTCCACAGTCCATGCCTTAGATATGTCCCATTTTATGTGGCAATTACAGACCTGAAAAATGTTGTGTAATTGTGTGTGTGTGGTAAATGTGCATATCATATTTAAATTTAGCAGAAGAATGTCACAGCAACGCAGCCCTATCAAAATCCTTTTATAATAATTGTATGGCTAGAGTTAATTTTCCTGTGTCAGATTTTCTTAAATTGCCCATAAACCTGTAGTCGCCTTTCCAGAGTGATAAGGCTGATTCGGGCTGTTGTGGTGCTATCGGTGGGCCACAAAGCTGGGCATGGACTTATGACCCCACTGACTAGATTTTGGAGGAGAGAGGTGTCAGCAGACTTCTAGGTTTGGGAGAATGTATGTTTTAATGTTTGTTACTCAAGCCAAACACCATTTGTTAAAAGGGAGCTAACTCAGGAGAGCTTTGTGATCTCATCTGATTGTGAGGTTGATTTGTTTTTACCTTTGTACTGGGTTCCAATCTCCGCCCTCAAAAAGAAAAGTCATTTAGAAATGTCTTCCTTGCCTAACAATGATATAATGGCCTCAGGTCCTTTCCAGCCGCTCCACCCTGCGTCTCAGGGCCATCTGTTCTCTGCAATCCACTTTTGGGGAAAGTCTCCTTTCCCATCTGCTCTCCTTGGGCCTTAGTGCCTGCTCTAAAGATTTATGAAGGCTGCCCTAGAACCTCTTTCCAGTTGTTATTTTTTTTAAGGATCAGTGCGATTTCAAGGCAGATGAAAGCTTTTTCTGTTTGATATGTTCAAATGTTGCTCCTTTTCCAGGTGTGTTCTTTCCTTCTCTTAGTCTGGAGGTGGAGAGAAGTCTGTCTTTCTGTGCTTGGAGGAGGGACTCTGCTTATCAAAGCAAAGATTGACTGGGCTGGGTCTGGCTGTTTTGAAGCCAAGTCTCTTCCTGGCTCTTTGGCCACTGGCATGCAGGCTCGGTGCAGCCTCTTGGGTTCATTTTTTTCCTGTCCTCTCCTTTGTCTCCCTGACAGAGTACAGTCGCTTTGAATCGAAGATACATGACTTGCGAGAGCAAATGATGAACAGCAGCATGAGCTCTGGATCTGGGTCCCTCCGAACAAGCGAGAAGAGGTCCCTGTATGTCAGGTAAGTCACACTTCTGAGCACCAGGCCTTGTGCTGCGTGAGGGGAGCTCTGTGCCAACCCAGCCCTTTTTGTTTAACTAGTAGGGTAGGGAGGGAGTGTGTACTCCCAGTACTAAAGCAACACTTGGCACTGTATGCTCAGGTTGTGTACTTTATGGTCAGTATCTCCTCCCTTTTGTGAGCTGACTTCTATATTTTTGCTCATGAATGACTCAGTGCAGGAAAATTTCAGTTTGCTCTAATTGTAAAAGACTGTTGGGTGATTGTTGCTAGTCAGCATTCAAATAGCACTCGAATGTTCAAAGTACTTTACTTGCAATCTGTGATTTGAGGGGAAAACTTGGCATCCCCCTTTCTACATATGCATACTAGACGTCAGGATTTGTATCAGAGCATTTCAACTCTCACTGTGTTCTGGTACAGGGTCTCTCAAGAGACCAAAGAACTGACAGGTCGCTGCTGCATTCTGTTTGTTTGTTTTTTTAAGTTGTGTTTCCTTGCCCCTTGCTGCACTGGTTTGCTGTTTCTGAATCATGGGACATGGGATGGAATGGTGTACATTCCCCAGGAAGGGTGGGTGGAGGGAACAGATATATAACATTGGGTGTATTGCTGCTGAAAGCTATTCTGAGATACTGTCCAAGGTTGAGGTTCTGACCCTTGAGGCACATTATAATACTTTGTCAGGTCAAAGTACAAACCTCTTGGGGAGTTGGACTGCTAAATGAACACTGACTCCTTGTAGAATTAGGGATAGTTTCCTTCTTCCTGCCTGGGCTTCTTGGCAAAACTCCAGCAGTTTGGTGTAAGTATTGTATCTCTTCAAGGTTAAAATCCTTAGAGAAAGAGGTGGTGGGGATTATACCCCGCTAAGCCAGAGGTAGCTCCCTGTGTGTTTAGTGCTTAGGTGTGGGGTTGTATCAAACTCTTGGGTTGAACTTTTTCTAGTGGCCTCTGATACCTGCTAGGGGCTCAGGATGGGAGGCTACATTTGCTAGTTGCCTGGCTACACAACTGCTCTGTCCTTGGGGTTTGAGATGACATAGCCAACGGATGTAAATGCTAATTGCACTTCTCCTCATTGGTGCTTGATTTTCTTTTCCTCAGTTGGTAGCCCCTGATGCAGGGAGTGGAGCCCAGGGAACCCAGCTTTGAGCCTGAAGCCCACTAGAACCCTTCATGATTCTTTTGTAAAGTGAACCCTCAGCTCGACACCTTGTGTGTTGAGAGCAGTTTTTCTTCGCATTTCCTGTGCTCACCTCCTGCTGTGAAGGGAGGAGAGCGGGAGGAAGGCTGGACTAGTCACTGGTGATCTTTTCAGTCTTCTGTTTTCTTTCAGGAGGCCCTCGCTCTGGGTCTGCAGCCTAGACACTGGGGCACTGACGGGGGGAATCCGAAATGTGCTGTCGCCACCCGCATAAGGGTAATACTTATGTGACTTGGTCAGGATTGTTCCGTTCCCGTGCTTCTAGCCCCCGCAGATGTGGCACTCCAGTGTGCGTGGGAAGCTGCTCTTTAGGCAAGACAGCTTCTTCGGAGAGCTTTATTTTTAGATTTCCCCTCTCTGCCTATCCTCTGCTTGAGCTCTCCCTGCCTGGGCAAGGGGAGTGGGGCATTAGCTCCCGACTTGGAGGACCTGGAGCACTCTTCTCTGGCTGGGGCAAAGGGTACATTCTGCCTAACTCTGGGGAGGAGGTTGGGCCCACACTCTGTTTCTAGTGAATCAGTTTATATAATCTGCCCTTAACCTTATCTAGATCACATCTGTATCTTCTGAGGAAAGTAAATATGGGTTAGAATAGTGAATGTTTGTGCTCACTAGACTTAATCAAGGGAAATAATGTTTTATGGCTAAAGCAGCGAGCTGAGGTCCATTGCTAAGCTAACTGCTCTACTGGAGCCTGGAGCCGCTCCATTCCCTTTGGTGCTTGTTTTTGGCCTTTCACTCTACACTTGGTTCCTTTTCTTCAGCATGTAAACATATTCAAGTTTCTTCCATTTATTAAAAAGAAGAGAAAAAAAATTCCCTTGATACCAGTAGTCCCTTATTGTTTTGTCTCTCTTCTTCAGCTCACCACATTTGCCAAATTATATGCCAGGAAACACAAGTTCCTCAAGATGTTAACAAGTATTGTGTGAAAAATCATTGGTTCAGTAAGTTGGGCAAATGCAGGATTAAACACAAGAAAATAGGGTTCTTCACCGTGATTAGTTCCCAGGGGGTACTCTACTAGGCAGTGGTTCCCCAAAAGGTAGAAGCATGGGAGCCTTATTTGGAGAACCCATCCTAACATCCAGGTTGGGAAATGTTAGAGTCGTCTGTACTTGCTGCTGCTGTTTCTTCAAATCGCCTCTCTCTCAGTAGGGAAGGAAGTGTGCACCTGCCTGTCAGCACAGGGCTGGGGTTCCAGGCACCTCCGCAGGGCTCCAAGGAGCAGAAGCCCAAGGCTCTGGCAGGGATCAGCGGTGACCTCTTAGTCCTCAAATTCAGTGACTGGTTCACTGATTCTCTGCCATTGGTCTGACCTCTTCACCACCTTTCTTTCCACGAATTACTTGCTTTCTTCTTTAAAGGCTCTCTTCCTACCTTGCTGACCATTCCTCAATATCTTTCGTTAACTCTGTTCCCTAAATGTCAATGTCATTTATTTTCACAGCTTCACATCCTGTCGTGTAAATGACATCTCTGATCTCTTTACTGAACTCCAGACCTGCACATCAACTACCTGGCTGGACATGCGCATGAAGCTGCCCTCCCAGTGCCTCAGACAAGCAGTGTGTTCAAAATGGACCTCCCCACACCTACTCCTCCTCACTTTCCTTATCTAAGTTAATTGCATCACCCTATCATGTGGAAAAGGGATTAGATTTGTTCTGTCACCCAAGGCAGATGTCAACTCAACGTAAGGAAGGAAGAGCTAATGATTAAAAATGTCTGAAAATGGAATGGACTGCTTCCGGAGATAGTCAGTTTGATCTTTTGTCACCGGAGGTGTTAGAGAAGAGGCAAGGCAGCCGTTTGCTCAGGTGTTGCAGAGGGGCTTGAAGCTAAAGCAGCGGTCTGGACGCGATCTGCTCAGAAGTTCCCACTAGTTCCCCCGTGTCTTCAGGATAAAGGGGAACAAACACTTAGGGAACACCTGTTATGCGTTAGGACCTTGTTATCCTCTTTGCCTTGCTTTTAAAATCCTTTTAATAATGCTACGAAGTGGACATTATTATTCTCACTTTGTAGGTGAAAAAACTGAGACTCCAGTTAGACAGCTAAGTAGTTCCAAAACTGGAATCTGAACCCGGTTGTCTGACTATAGAGCATGGTTCTCTCAGCATCTCCCACACTTGCTGATAGGAATCAGTTGGTGTGCTGGCAAAAATACAGCTTCCCAGGCTCCTCTTCTATCGATTTGGATTCACTAGGTTTGGGGAAATGTATGTTTTTAACAAGCCATCAGTTAGAATGCTCAGGAGTGACCACCTGAACATTACACTTACTTGAGCTCCTACTGTGTGGAAAGCAGGAAAGCACAGGGCTAAGAATTTGGGTATGGTTCCACGGGGGCAGATTCAAGGAAGCAGCAGATGTGTTTCCTGCCCTTCAGCAGCTTGCCATCTATGCAGAAGATACTGAGCAGCAGGTGGTTAAAGTGAAGAAACCCTTTTCAGTGAGGGTTTCCCTTCAAATTCTTTTCACTGTTGTTTCCCCTTCTGACATGTTCCTCCTCCCTTCCCTTCCCCTGGGTCTCTATCCTCTGGTGTGCATGGGGTTGCAAAGCTCTTTTGAAGCAAACAGTACCTCTTACAGCTGCACTAAGGCTCTAGCAGGTGAAGCCCTAGGGAGCTGCAGCTGTACTAACCACAGGGGAGACGGGATTTGTGGAGCAGGGAGCAGGAGGAAGAAGGAAAGGTAGCAGTGTTTGGAAAATGAAACTTGGTTTTAAAGTCACTAGTGACTTAATGGAAAGGCCTTCCCCATCCTTCACTGTACTAGAATCATCTCTTAAGTAGTATAGGCAGGATGAGCAGCACCCCTCTCTCTGCCCAGTGTAGGGCCTTTGCTCTGCTGGTGAATTTGCCTTCCACTCTGGAAATGTCCACAGAAATCTGCCTCTCTTGAGCTTCTTGCTTGGGGTCGGGGTGGCTATGTGTTTAACTCAGACCATTCTGATGTGAAGGTCGTACAAAGACACAGGGTAGGTTAGAGTTCTAGGGACCTCTGAGTTTATACTCATATTTTATTTTATCTATTTATTGAATGAATGAACGAAAGAGCTTGTCCTCCAAAGGTTGCCAAGAGGCTCGATAGTATATTTGTAGAAAAAGCTTTTAAAAGTCTGTTCCAGCTAGCCTGGCTGCGTCCTTTGCAGCCACAGGACAACATCAGGCATTTGGGGAGTCCTGGCCTCCCAGCTGGCCATCTGCCATCCCACTCTAGTAAGGAGATCATATTGGGGCATCTGTAGTCTTGATTCAAGAAACAAGGTCAGAAATATGGTCTTGGTCATCAAAGAAGACTGGAGAATCCTCCTTCTTGTCAACAAGCAGACATTAATTGTGCGGCTACCCTGTGCTCGGCCCAGGGTGGTGCTTGGGGGAGCCCGGCTTTGTCTGCTTATTAATGAGTTTCAATAGTAGATTAAGATGCCAATGAGGAAATATTGGAAGGCTTTACTATCTGAAAGAATTTGGAGGTGACGATAATGTGCATCTTCAAAAGCAACAATTTATGTAGTGTTCCGCACTACCAGAGGGTAGGGCAGAGTTTCCTGTATCAGCGATTCTGGAACTGCCCGTTGCTAGATCATATACCCCAAACACCAGTCCTGGGCCTGTGCTCATAATCCCCTCAGCCGATCCAACAGGTGCTGTGAACCCTGAACATTCACACATTGGGGGGCGATTGGTCCTCGAATGCCCCTCTAACTTCGTAATTGCCCTCTACGGCTCAAGACTTTCAGATAGACTGACGAGGATGGTGCCCTTCCCTGCTCTCCCTGTTCCCTT